GTCTTATGAAAATATACACGCTTTAGAAAGGGAAACAAATAAAATAGACTGGATTCCGGCTATTTATTTCGGGCTTGTTTGCGTGAAAAAGAACTTTAAATATTTTCGAAATTTACCAAAAATATTGTAATATAATCATTATCTATGAATATCCAAGTCTTTTGAATACGAATGGTTTTTCAGCATTATGAACCTTTGAATAAAAGCTTTGTGATGAAAATATGTTTAGGTAATATATTTTGCAGAACTTTTGCAGAATTTTTATGTCTTCTTTTACGACTAGGTACGAGGCGTATTACCTGATTTCTATGGAGATGTGGTTTACAAACATCGTAGCATCATGGGTCATAGTATTTTTTCTGCCGTCTTCACTAAAATTATCGAACGGTTTATTAAAAGAGGTTATGACCCAATTATTTTAAGGCATACTGCATGCTTGGTGTTCAACCCTTATGCAGTTGGACGCTACGCTTTCCTCTTTTAATTACATCTGACGGACCAAGTAGGATATTCTATGATGGACAGTTTTTAAAGCCCTTTGGGACTGAATTGTCTTTATGTTTATCTTCTGTTTTACTTTGTCAGGCCCTTGTAAGTGATTTTCTTGCCGCTCTGATTTCCTTTAAGGTATCGAGTACTTTGATAATGGTCATTAGGCTGTACCTTTTTCTACATATTTACACAACCTTTTGTGTTTTATCTATTTGGTCTAATGTAACCATGACCATTGATAGAATTTCACCCTTACAACCCTTATCCCTTTAATTCCCATATGGGCCCGTTTTGGTATATATTATTTCACACATTACATGTCCCTCTCCTTTCGCCGCCCTTATGTCCACTCCAGGTTTTGTGCCTTCTGGGTTCCCTGCTGGGATGTGTCAGGGGGGGGGGGTTGCGTCCTGTGAACGGTACCTTTACCTTGTTGATCTTTATCCTTTTATTTTTCATTATAACCTACATTTTTGTTTTTCAGGAAAAATAATAGTAATGCAGAAACAGATTCGCTTAAACAGTCTTTGTCTGACGCAATTCATGATAAAAATAAAGTGGAAAAAAAACTTTCAAAGTAAGAGTTATATCAAGTGTTACTCGCAGTTTATTTTGTCATATCAAAATGAGATTACACATAAAATGATCTCATTTATCTTCTTTTATACTATTTGAAACATTATTCGTGGGTATTCTGTTAATTTTAGCATGTTACTTACTACAGAACTTTATCTCCTGTTCTTTCCTATGTTAACATTTAAGTCTTAACATACGCATTTAACGTCACCTTTTAAATTCTTCTTTTGCATCATTAACATTATGCTCATTTTTTCACTGTCATTAAATAGGTCAATAAGATGTTTATTACAAAAGATCGACTATTTTAATAACGATTAGATAATAATTGAAAAACATAAATATTTAGGATAAAATGTAAAAACTGCCCACTAAATAAAAAGACTGCCCCGTTATTACATAATGGATATTTTTTAAAGATGTTAATACTATTGATTATTCAGTTGACGTTTTTATGCTCCCAGAAGGGTGAGCATATATTCATCGCTATGTCCGTCCGTCTGTCCGTTCGCTTTTCTTGTCCGGGACATTACTTTGAAACAACAAAGTCATCAACATGAAACTTTGTAGGTTGATATGTCATAAAATAGGTGTGCAGTGCACATGAACGTAACTCTACCTTGCCTACTTTTTGAATTATTGCCCTTTGTTAATTTTTACATGTTGAACATTGTCCGAGACATAACTCTAAAACTATAAGAGGTATCAACATGAAACTTTGTAGGTAAATAGATCTCATTGAGTAGGTTTGCAGTGTACACAAACCGTAACTCTGACTTGTCTTTCTTTTGAATTATTGCCCTTTGTTTATTTCTACACTTTGAATTTTGTCCGGGACATAACTCTAAAACTATAAGAGCTATCAACATAAAACTTTGTAAGTTGATAGATCACATTGAGTAGATGTGCAATGCACAAGAACCGTACCTCTGCCTTGTCGAATTTTTGAATTATTGCCCTTTCTTTATTTTTACACTTTTAACTTTGTCCGGGACATAACTCTAAAACTATAAGAGGTATCAACATGAAACTTTGTAGGTTGGTAGATCTCATTAAGTAGATGTGCAGTGCACAAGAACCGTGACTATGCCTTTCATTTTTGCATTTTTTGCCCTTTGTTTATTTTTAGACTTTGAACTTTGTCCGGGACATAAATCTAAAACTATAAGAGATATCAATATGAATCTTTTTAGGTTGAGATATCTCATTAAATAGGTGTGCAGTGCACAAGAACCGTGACTCTACCTTGTCTAAGTTTTGAAATATTGCCCTTTGTTTATTTTTACACTTTGAACTTTATCTGGGACATAAATCTTAAAGTATAAGAGATATCAACATGAAACTTTGTAGGTAGATAGATCTCATTAAGTAGAAGTGCATTGTTAAAGAGCCATGTCTTGCCTAATTTTGAAGTTATTGCCCTTTGTTCATTTTGACACTTTGAACTGTGTCCGGGCCATTACTCTAAAATTATAAGAGATATCAACATGAAACTTTGTAGGTAGATAGGTCTCATTTGGAAGAAATGCAGTGCTAAAGAATTAAACTCTGCCTTGCCTTATTTTGAAGGAATTGCTCTTTGTTTATTTTGACTTTTTGACTTTTGTCCGGGACATAACTCTAAAACTATTAGAGATATCAACAATAAAACTTTGTAGGTAGATAAATCTCATTGGATAGAATTGCATTGCTAAAGAACCTAAACACAGCCTTGTCTTATTCATGAGTTATTGCCCTTTGTTCATTTGGGTAGGGTAGGGTAGGGTAGGGGTAGGGTAGGGGTAGGGGTAGGGGTAGGGGTAGGGGTAGGGGTAGGGTAGGGTAGGGTAGGGTAGGGTAGATAGATAGATAGATAGATAGATAGATAGATAGATAGATAGATAGATAGATAGATAGATAGATAGATAGATAGATAGATAGATAGATAGATAGATAGATAGATAGATAGATAGATAGATAGATAGATAGATAGATAGATAGATAGATAGATAGATTTTTCTATAATAAAGAACAAAATGTACCTTTACCTCATATATACGCGAAACAGTGCATTTTCGAGCCCCCTTTTAAGTCTCAAATAGAGAAAAATGTCCTGTTTGGGTTCCAAACACATATTTTCGTTTTAGAAATGTTGAAAAAATGTGATCACTTTTTCGGCGTTGCCCCTATCAAGAAAGTACATCAAGGGGTTGCCAGAAGGGGAATGTGCCTCCCCCTTATCGCAAAGAAGATTCTGGACATGTGACAAGCTAAAAATAGCCTCAGGTCGATCGTGAGGTAACGTGTAACCATCGCTTAAAAAGCTTTTACTCTTTCTCAATCAATTGAGAAGTTGCAGCAATTTGAAATCAGTTTTGATGGAAAAAACAATACAAAATAGTGAGTTTTGGCAATTTTGAGACGTCCCCCGTTGCCATGGTAATATCAAATTAAAGATAAGGCATGCAGCTACAGAGGCTATGGTCCAGTCAACATTTGTGTCAAGTTTTATCATTACTGAAGCATTTGTCATAGTTTCATAGCAGATTGAACTTGTAACAGGAGGTTTTTCAATGAAAACGACCATTTTACACAATATGCTCATGCGGTAAAGGGTTAAATATCTTTCATTTTTATTCTGTCTATAAAAAAGACATATTTTGAAAGTTTCTTTTGCAATGCATGACACATGCGCATCTTTAAAAGTTGCTAAAAAATTGAAAAAACACGAATGTTTAGGAATAAATGTAAAACCTGCCTAAGAAAAAAAGATGCTCCATCTTTTTATTAATTGAAAATTACCGATATTTTCCAAAGGATGTTAATAGATAATAACGGGGCTATTAATAAATCAGGTGACGTTTGAATATTATATTATCATTATTCTCATTTGATGCCTGCATGTTTTACCTGCCAAAGGCCTGTCTAAATAAGTTTGACTTCCTGTAAAATATACAGGGAAGAACTGATTATAAGAAGAGTTTTTGGTCACTTAAAAGTTACAAAAATAAATCTGGGAATCTCATTTGCTATTCTAAACTAAAATGTAAAACTATTTCTTGTCATTCAAAGATAATTCTGAACTAAAATGTAGAGGTTAGTTTTTGCCATTATGAAAAAAATGTAAAGGATAGTTCTAAAATAATTTAAACAGGATAGTTCTTTAACTTTCTAATAAGTTGAACGTAAATACGTGAATTGATGACGTTCAATCAGGAATTCATGATCATGAAGCTCAAATCTTGAAGTTAAAATGTAATCACCGGTCTTTCGTACTAATAAGCATTTTCTGTTATAAGGGCAATAATGTATTTTTTCATTTATGTAAATGTTATCATAGTTATCTTGTGTTGCTATAATCCAGGACACGCTCCTGGACCAATTCCTAGGACAAACCAGTAATTAGCATTTTGTACTTACTTAAGGAATCTAGCGTTTGCAATGGTTTAAACCACGCGGCAAGTAAACTTTTGTTGGTAACCACTCGGTCAGGCCGCAACTACTTTTAATTTTGATTGCGATGATGTTATCTATTTGAGTAAACTTAGGTTGATAGGGTATACCTGATAAAATTGTTATTTTTGTTATTCAGGGACATCGAGAAATTGAACATGAAAATCGATGAATTGAAGAAAGAAACCAAAGAACAAGAAAAACGGTATGGTGTTATAGTTGGGAAATAAATGAATATGTGATTTTCATTGTTATATTATTTTAGCACGTATTGCTCAGTGAGAGCATTTGTGATACACCTTTGTCTATAACATTTTTACCTAAAATCGGGGAAAAACACCTTTAAACGACATATATCTTTTCCTTAAGCGTTTTGTAGATTATGAAATTATTGAAATAGTTTTAGTCTTTCACGTAGGTAGGCACCAGTTCTAAAAATAAAAAAGTGTTAAATTACATATTGTTTTCAGCCGCCCTATAGATTACGATGAAACTCTACAGAAATGATTATTAGGCAGTCTTTTACTAAAATGCTCATATGGATCCGTGTTGGTGAACAAGATGACCGTCATAGCTTAAAATAGAAAGTTCTTTCAATGACATCTTCGCATTTACCTTTGAATAGAATGTGATGTTACATGAAAGGCATAGTCGTTTGATGATCATCTATAATATTGTTCGAGTAGTTAGGGTCATCTTAACAAGATGGTTGTCCGAGCCAAAAATAGAAAAGATAAGACTTTTTTAACATTTTGTCGTCAAAGCCCGATTAATTTAGACAAAATTATAGTAGTGAACAATTGGGCAGTCCTTTATTAAGTTGCTGACATATACTGGTGGGCTGAATAAAATTTCGGCCGCATAAGCTAAAAATAGAATGTCCAGCCTGTTTCTCTTGAAGCGATAGAGGAAATTAAAATTACTTGGCAGAAATGTAAACCATTATAAGACGATGTGCTGAGCGAAGGTTAGACCATTCTCAGGTCAAGGTCATACTTATATATTATGTATATTGTGTCCGGTCTGAATCTTTTGAACTAATGGAAAGAATGATGCAAGGAATATAACATCATATAAGCAAATTTTTAGGGCGTATAATTTATGTACTCAATATATGTGGTCATCGTACGAAGTTTGACTGTTGTAAAACTTTTAACAATATTAATGTCATTTGATATTGACCTTTGACCTTGTGACTCCAATATAGATATGGCTCTTTTATTCAATATAGGCAATCATCCTATGAAGTTTGAGCACTGTTAGCCGAATGGAACTCGTGTTATGCTCCGGGAAGTACAATTTTCAGTGTTTAGGTTATTGTGACCATGACCTTGATCTTATGAGCCTAAAATCAATAGGGGTCATGAATTGGACATGGCCGTTCATCGTATAAAATTTTACAGCAAGGGGTTGATTAATACTTAAGTTATTGAGCAAAAACCGTTTTCAGTTTATAGGTAATAATGACCTTGACCTTGTGACCAAAAATTAATAGGGGTCGTCTTCTTCTCAATATTGACAATCATCCTAAAAATTTGAACACTGTGGGCCAAATGGAACTTAAATTTTGCTCCAGAAAACACATTTTTCAATGTAAAGATCATTGTGATCATGACCTTTGACCTTATGACCCCAAAATAAATACGGGTCTTCTACTCAATATTTACAATCATCCTATGAAGTTTGAACACTGTGGGCGCAACGGAACTTAAGTTATGCTCGAGAAAACACATTTTTCAATGTAAAGATCATTGTGATCATGACCTTTGACCTTATGACCCCAAAATAAATACGAGTCTTCTACTCAATATTTACAATCATCCTATGAAGTTTGAACACTGTGGGCGAAGTTATGTTCGAGAAACCACAATTTTCAGTGTAAAGATCATCGTGTCCTTGATCTTTGACCCTGTGACACCAAAATCAATAGGGGTCTTCGACCCAATATGGATAATCATCCTATGACGTTTGAATATTGTGGACTTCAGTTATACTCCGGAAACTGTTTTGAGTTTTAAGGTAATAGTGACTTTGACCTTTGACCTTGTGACTCCAAAATCAATAGGTGTCTTCAACCCCATATGGACAATCACCCTATGAAGTCGAAAGGAACTTAAGTTATGCTCCGGAAACCAAATTGCTAACGGGCAGAAGGACAGACGGGCGGAGTTGCCAACAATTGGCGTTAATGTGCTTTTTCTTTGATCTTTATGTGGCTTTTTACCCCGTAAAATATGATAAACAAGATCAACAAGGAAAGGCGGCGTTCAATGAACGCAACCCTCATATGACCCAGCAACAAGAACTAGTGGCAAGGAGCCCAGACTGACCCCAACAAAAACAGGACAGGGCACAAGTCAGCAAGGACAGCTTAATCACTAAATGATAAATAATTTGTAACTGATTAGGGTTACCATTAACATTACCACATAAACCAGTCGGTTTATGGGATTTCCTTCTTCTTTTTTAACTAAAATTTTGGACGGAATTATAGACCATTGGATGTTCGCTCGGACGGACGGACAGACAGACGGAAAGACGGACGCCATGTGGTATAACATAATATGCCCGAGATTCTTTCGGGCATATGAATGTCATAACTTACATAGACATAAAGTATCGAAATAAAAGTTTTTATTAAACTGTAACAAGCTTTGTGTTACTTTCTTAGAGCGCAGTGTTTTGCGCCGGTAACCTCTATTACGGAGAAGCCAATTGGTTACTAGTCGTTACAAAGTTATAAAGCTTTTGTTTTCATTGCCCTCAATCAACATTATTTAGGTAGAGAAATATCTAGTCATTGGTTTTCTGGCAAAAGTTTTTATACAAAACAAACGAAGATGAATTTCGCATTCTAATATTTGAGCAACACGACAAATTTAAAAAATATTTCTAAATACGCAAAATGAGTCAATTGTATAGTAGTGTTCACATTCTTCACAAACACAATCATCATTTTGTTTTTTTATAACATACTCATCATGCCCAACTTATGATATGGTATAACATTTGATATTTTATCAATATTGTTTAATTTGTTTACCAATTCACGCGCATTTTCTTAATCTTTTCTTGAACGTTCCGGATGTCAAATTGTTTTAAATACTGTTATAAACTTATACTAATGTCTATAATGTACGTGCATGCCACTTTTACAAGCAAAACTGTCGAAATTCCAATAATCCTCATAATGATTTAGGAGTGGATGTTCATGGTGCATGTTATATACCAGCTTATAAGATGGACTTTAATCAATAATTTACAACTTGTTTTCAGTAATAAAGTGGATTTTAAAAAGTATGCAACGAAAATGGAAAATAAAGTAGAAAAATACGAAGCTGAAATGGTTAGTTTGAAAGCGGAATTGACACAGGCGTTGGCATCTGCAAAGAAGGAAAAGACAAAACACGATTCAGAAAAACAGGAAATGTTGTTAAGGTTTCAGTTGTTTTATAATTTACTTTAGCATATTGAATTTAACATGTTGCATTGCCTAAAAGTCCTCTTTAAAAGTTTTATTAATCTTGCACCAGGGGTTTCTTAAAAGAATATCTCACCTACAATAACACCACGGGTTTGATACATAGCAGAGGATAATCGGAGAAGAACTTTTAAACATTTTATATCTTTCGTTCTTATTCAATTGAACATTGTTTATATTGAAAAAAATAAGTTTAAACTAACTTTTATATAAGACAAATCGGCGCCAATTCGAAAGCAGCGTAACGACATGCAACTCATTCATAAAGGCGCCAAAATGACGTCATTTTAATCTCACAAGAATTATTAATGGATTACTAAAGAAAACATAATACCATCCAGTTTAACACGTAAGTTTTAATTGTTGTAAACGTGATAAATTAATGTTTTTCTTATTTTTTTAACTTTTTTTAAATATTTTTTTTTAGTGACTTTAGTGTGGGACATCGCGTATCGCACAGCGTTATACAAAAATCGGCAGCGTAATAAATCTCTGCTTGAAAAAAAAAGCATTAGAGTTCTTCCTTAAATTGTCTTATTAGATTCGAAATAATATCGGTCTGGGTGTTGCTAAGACTGATATAATTTCTTAAACACCTAAACGACATACCGTGATATATAAATCAAGATCTAATTCAATTCTTGCACGTCAAGAAAAAAATAAAGTTGAACTATATTTTTGGTGGTTGTAGAGTTTGTTATAACAACATTTTTAAAGGATTTTCCAGTCGGTTGAAAAACTGTCGTTACATCTACTGTTTGCACAACATTTTGAGAATAACAAATTTTGAATACGCTGATAACGTTTTTGTGTGTTTATCATATTTGTTTTAATTTTTTATTAATTTTTCAAGCGAAAACGGATTAATTATAGTGAACTAAAGTAATATATTACTTTTTAGCAACATTGAAATAGCACTCTTTTGACGGTTTTGCACGCACTGTTTGGCGCTGCCCTGTGACATCACCTAAACATACTAGCCTCGTTATTGCGTCGATTTGCAAATACTGTGGGAGGAAATAAGACGGCTAGTGTATCTACTTAGGGAATATACATCAATTCTGAGTACATTGAACTGTTTTAGTTCAAATTCTCCTATCCCAGCATCAACCATGTATTTTTGTCTACCTTTTTCATGTTTTTAGATTATTTGATTATTTATTTTAATAAGTTTCATTCTTACTTTTCCCCGATAAAACAGCGTCTACATGTGTTTTTCCTTTGGCGCTAACTATGTCAAGTCATCATAGGCTAAACATGTGACGTAATTACTGGAGATAGATAAGTTTATCCAGCAAGGCTTTATCGGCTGATAATAAAGACAGTTATTATCACGCCCTTTGAGTATTTCCGATAGTGTCAGAATTTGTTTTCTTTCATATCGAACGAAAATAAACAAAATTTGTGTCTTTTGAAACAATTTTAAAGGCATGTTCGGCATGTCTTCTATGCCTTACTTTTCATTGCACGTTCAAAATGGCGGACGAGTTCTCGAAAGCATTTTATCAATAACATACAAAGACATTAAATATCGAGTTAAAAGCATTTATTTAACTGTTTCAAGATTTTTTGTTACTTCGGTAATCACTTTTTCCAGAGAAGTCAAGTTTAAAGCTACATTTAACAGAATATGTAATCAAATTTTTCTGTCGGCTTAAAAACCAAGCATTCTATAGTTTTGTTAACATTTTCAACAGTATTGTTGTAAATCTTATAAAAAAATCTTCATAAGTTATGATTTTATAAGGAAAACCCCGCGGTAACTCACGTAACTTTAGTATTGTTTAAAACATACTTCATGTTCGTTGCAAAATATAACGTACGTTACTTTTACAAGCATTTTGAAACCTACAATTTCTTAAAACATAATTTTGATAGGAAAATGTCAAAATTCCAATAATCATCATGATTTGTTAGGAACTGTATGCGCATGTCATATACTAGCTTATAAGATGAACTTAATTCAATAATTTCAGTAAGCAAGAGGAATTTAAAAAATATGCAACGAAAATGGAATGTGAAGTAAAACAAAAAGAGGCTGACATGGTTAGGTTGAAAGAGGAATTGACAAATAATATGATAAAGGCGCTGGCTGAAGAAAAGAAAAAACACGATTCAGTAAAAAAGGACTTGTTAAGGTTTCAGCTGTTATATTATCTACTTTAGCATGTTTTTAATTAACGTAAATATTATTTACGAGTATGTATGTCCTGAATGAGTACTAAATTCGTGACCATCAATGGTACTTTGTATTACTTTAACTCAAATTCAACATACAACTTTATAGTGTCCAGTACGTAAAATGTTTGTTGTTCATTCAATAGGTTGAGCAAAGTTACAGGAGGAAACCTAACGTTAGATAATCCGAATATTGCTGATCTAAGTGACGAGAACCGTCCAACCAAACTTGCAGAGGAATTTTCTGAACTTTATGACAATGAATGGACGGATACATTTGAAGTTCTTAAAACTGATGAAAAGGATAGAACGACCTTCATGCTTCATTTATTGCAGGTGAAACTTATGAGAGTTGTAAATCATTTACATGTTTAGGATTAGCTTAAACATTAAAAACATGATGTTTTTGTGTGTGTTTTGTTTCGTTTTAATCTAACTATTTTGAGAAAGAATCTGTGAAAATGACTTTATTTATCTGTTTTTGTTTTGATGCTTTGTTTTTAATCTTTTAGTAGATTGTCATGACTATTTACCAATGTCTTTATGAATTTGAAGAGTAATAATAAGTAGTAGTATCAGTTAACAATGTTATTGTAGCAAGAACTTCAAAATAAATATTTCCGCTTTTTCAAGAGTGTTTCTGTTATGATAAGTTATAGCAATCAAATCACAGATGTGAATTGGGTTTATTTAATCTTCTCTACATTTCTTATTTAGAGAGCAAGCACTATTTGTCAGCAAATATCAAACGATCATATGCAGAGTATCAAGGAAAGTTTGTGTTCTCTGACTCTCCGAACTCAATTGCCGAAAAGGATTGATGTTGGCACAAATGAAATGTTTGGAATCCTAAAAAATGAAAAGATTCAAGTTTTCAGGAATGAGGTATAAAAGTTGTGTGTATGTAATATTATTACTTTAAGCTTATTTAGGTTTCAGATAATCGAGTAATGTTAACAAATATTTTAAGAAATTATATCATATATGTGCCTATCAATTAGTATTTATCCAGTTCCGATGTCCTATAGCGTGAATAAACGCTTTTGATAAATGATCTTTTTTTATTTTATTTTGTTAGCAATGAAGAATCGTAAAAGCGTTCATATGGATTTCTAATTGCTTAAGAATAAAAGACGTTTTACAGCAATTACTTCCCTATATATTTATAAATATTTACTAAGCTATATACAGAATGCATTTAAAATCTTAAAGCGTAAATTAAGTAGATCAACTAAACTTAAATCTGGAAAGCTTTATTCTGAATATTCTGATATTTGAATCCGGTTTTGTTCAACTCGACATGAAAAAAACTGATGAAGCATATACCAGGGTTGTTCGCGAAGTCCATGTACAAAGTTGATTATAGAAAATCAATAAACAATATTGAGATAAAAAAATGCATCACTAGAAAATTTATTTCATTACAAATCTAGTGATATGCTACACACACATTTTACCAAACATGAAAATACTATAATTTACACAAAACACAATACATCTAAGTAAACCCGTGGCAGTGACGTCGCGCTAAACATCAAAAGTCACAGTTTTTCTATGTAGTCACCGCCTACGCCCATGCACTTTTGATGCCGGGTGGATCCATTTCTGAAAGACTTCTGAATACCACTCTTGGTCAAACGTCACAATAATGTTCTGAGTCTTCAGAAATCTGGAAACGAATTCCTCGTAGCTGTGCCTTTAGTTCAGGAAAATGTCTGAAGTCCATGGGAGCGAGGTCCAGACTGCAAAGGGTGTGTGCAAGAAAGTCGGTTTCAAGGAGCGTTATCTTGATGCAGAATTACTCTCCCGAGTGGTAAATCGGTACGTTTCCTTCTTAATGCACGTGCGAGATCCCTCCTCAGAACCTGAAATACGCAAATGCAAGCATACTGAGTTTTTGAAATAATTATGATTTGTCCATGGATCTTTGTGTAATATTATTTATAACTTATTTGAATGATATTCTATCATTCTATCTAAAGATTTAAGTTTTCAACAAACAATGATAATGTTAAAGATCCTGTCACTCAATTTTTTATCGTTTTATATCATTAAAATATTGCTCAAATGAAAATTTATCAATATTGTAAGTTTCAGAAAGCATTATTTGTAAAGATATTACTGAATTTACGTTTCATGTTAATAAAGGGAGGTAATTAGAAAAAAAATTTCCATAAAGTCCAAGTCAAATTTTTCAAAAAGAAATGAATGCATTTATTTTAATGATTGCATATAATGTGGACAAATATTTGATTTTTGATTTTGATTGCTTTAGCTTTTTATGTATTGGTGTATGCAGGGTCTCCATGTGAACTTCAAGGTCATAGTGCAACAACCAAGTTTCATCAATTGTAACAATTCGGTCTAGAACCGTATCAGCTCTTACTCCAATCTCGTAATATTCGCAAAATTAGGGGCACTTTAAAGTCAGGCAAAGCTTTAAAATAATGGTGTCCCTGGTCGGTGTTACATGCGTTACCATGGACACGGTTTGTGCTAACATTCAAACTAGAAAACATATAAAGCTTTGGTGATCGGTTTAAGTTATTCGATACTACATTTAAACAAAAGACATTAGAAAAATTGCTTTCAATGCAATATTATTCCACTTTAACAGGGACTTCGCGAACACCCCCGTAAATAATGCTATGTTCTCAACGCCGATCAGATCAACACGAACGTCCCGACTCACGACACCTCCACGACCTCAAGTCGACCCTAATCGATGCTTTACGACTTTATCTCGACAACAACCCGACCAACATCTAGACTTCTTCTCGATCACCCATACCTATACGCGAGTCATATACGATCTCAACTAGACTAATTGAACCTCTGGTCGATCGTTGCCAGATTTACACCCGACCAGATCGTAATGATTGTCAAAGAGTCGTGAATAATGCTCGGGTAGAAGTCGAGATGATCGTGTACAGATCGGGAAAGAGATGTATACTCGACCAAACTAGATCGTTACACGATTTATTCTCGATCAACTAGATCTTCTACTCGATCACTATACGATCGCTTCTCGACCGCTTATCTACTCGATCACTACTCGAATTGTTTTTGACATGTCAAAATAATTCGAGAAGGAAGCCCGAGCCATGCCGACCAAGGTAGACCGTTTCGACCACCTCCGATCACGCACGCAGACCGGGCTAGACCGGTACCCGATAGCTTGATTGTGCTTGATCGAGTTGATCTGATCGGCGGTGAGAACACAGCATAAGTTTGAGAAATGACATATGGTTTGCACGCTGAATGGTATTTTGCATGTAAGATAAGGGAAGGTTAGATAGATTACCACTATGAGTATATTATAAATGACAATAGTTGAGAGCTTATTTAAAACTTTTATTTAATTTTTATTTCTAGACACCCAAGCATATTCATTCTAAAGTAAAATTGCACGTTTTTTCTATAAGATTTTTTACAGATAAAAATGTCTGTTTTTTTCTACCAGGTGATTACAATGCCGTTTGACTCTTTGCAAACTGATCAAAGGAATGTTGTGATGGATTTGCGAAAGTTTGTTGAAAAACAGCTTTCTTATCAGCTTGAAATGGTATGTTTTAAATAGCGTTGACCTCTGTACATATTTATTTATTTTGTTGGTAATAGTTTCAATTATGTTCAACAACCCAGCTTGCCCATTATTTTGTGTTGTTGTTGTTTTTTTGTGTTATTTAATTTGTTTTTGGTTTTCTATCTAATAAAATTCATTGCCATACACTACATTCATATCTTTCATTGATTGTAAAAAAGGTCATGGGGTAAATTATATCAGGTAAATATACATTGGACATGAAATGCAATAAAAGGGTTAAATATCGCGTTCGTGTCGCGTTACGCAACTGCATATTCTGTATGTGACACATTTTAGCCGTGTCACGACAAAACCAACATAATGGGTTTGCGACCAGCATGGATCCGCGCAGTCTGATCAGGATACATGCTGTTCGCTTACAAACCCTATAACAAGTAGAGAAACTGAAAGTGAACAGCATGGATCCTGATCAATATGCGCAGATGCGCAGGCTGGTCTGGATCCATGCTGGTCTAAAACCCATTATGTTGGTTTTGTCATGGCGCGGCTCATATATTTTCAGGAAGTCGCAAATGTTATAGCTTCTGAAAGTGAAATCAATTTAGAAGGAGAAGATACGGTCATAAAATATATAATGAAATGTGTTAACATATGCTGGACAATGTGTCAACACGAACCACCCGTACACGTTGACTTCCCTGATCTACAAGTCAATCACAAATTTGATACTAATGTTTACAAACCGTACACAAAGTCAGGAAAGTATCTGCATTTCATTGTATGGCCTGCATTGTACCTTTACAAGGATGGTCCAATGCTTTGCAAAGGGGTTGCACAAGGAAACAACTGACATGTAAGTACTGTTTCTTGTTTTTATTCATCAAATATATTTAATTTCTTTTACCATTTTGAAACCATGTATTAACTCAGAGTAAATAATCATTTTTTTTTTCTAATGTTTAAATTGATAAGGAAATAACCTTGATTTTGTCGTTTTGAAGTGTCTATGATAATCATCATTATTGAAATAAATATACAAACTAAGCTAACAGATATTTAAGCAATACCAGTTTTTAAAGATAAATTTCATGTTTATTTTTAAACCTGAGCTCAAGTATGTACAAATGTATGCCAAAGTTTTAAGAGAATCAGCCATCGTCTTTGCTTTATCAAACATTTGATAATCAAACACATTTTTGCACTTTCTTGTTTCAGGAATATTCACTGTCAACCAATTGATAAAAATATCTGCGTCATATCAAGAACGTTAGATACAGCTTTTAACATGATTATATAAAACTTCTACTAGGTGACCAACCTCTTTTTTATTTTTTAAACAATGAATTAGATAGATAAATAAAGACAATACATCACCAAAGGCAATGCACTGTACACAATTAATGAAAGATTTCAAAATGTCATCGTTAAAACGTTACAAAGAAAGACAGTTATACGCTAATCGGAAATTTCCAAAGTTATGAGTTTTACGTATAAGTAACGTGGGAAAAGAAGGACAATTCAAACCAGTGAATATAATTTTACAAAACTTTGCATGATTAAAGAAATATTATAGTTTAAACAAATTTTAAAAACCTGAGGAACACCCCTTATTTGTTGAGTTATCCGCTCAGAAAAGTATGTGTTAAGCTCTTTTGGTCATTTTCAAGAACAGATAACTCAAAACCGCGGCTCGTAACGTCTTATTTGATTTCCAATTCATGATTTTACTTTATTCCCCTTTATGGTGCAAAAGTTGCTGAAATTGTTGTCACTTATTTTTACTTTGTAGATGATTATGCGAGATGATAAAAAATGTTGTTTTTTTTCTCTGTTATGCCATTTCATTTAAGCATAGTAAAGTGCATGTTATATTATTTTATATATTTAACCTACTTTTTGACTGAAAATGTAATAACGAGAAATAAATTGAAACAAAAATCGATTCAAATGCCCGATTTTGAGCTATTTAGTTTTGAAAATGGCACGAATACTCATTTTGAGGGCATATAAACCAAAAATATATTTCAAATATGATAAATCAAAAATAAGGATGGGGATCCCTTATTATTTCCATATATATAAATGGCATGTGATTACCACAGACATGTTAAATTTTATTATTTTTCAGGAAACAATAGGCTTGTTATATCACTTTGCCAAGGAGTGTTTATTTTAAAGTAGCCGCATTGGTTTAATGTCATAATTGCTTAAATTACTTGAATCATGATTATTTTATATGCGCAAGTCTTACTTTTTTTAGTATGATGCAACACCTGGGATAGTTAAAATATCACAGAATGCTAACGGGGAAAAACAGATCTTTACCTTCCGACTCCTTTGTTAAAAATGATCTGGCAAATCACTTTCCGACCAAATGACAGGCCAGTAATTATTTACTGTCTTGTTTTTGTTCTATTGTTTTCTATACAAACAGAAAATCAAGAAACTCGTGCTCTTAAGATTTAGCATTATAAAATAATCACTGAAAATATATATCTAGTAACGCAGAATCGCTTATATTATTATATAAATGATCAAAATACAAAAATTGTGCAAAAAAGCGCCGAAATGTGCATCTTTAAAGGGAAATTACCACTGTATTTTGTTAACAGCCTGATATTTTTCAGAACATCACTTATTAAACTGGAAGAAGTAACTTAGCGCATACGGCAACTTCGACATATCTTTAACTTCCTGATAAATGTTTTCAATTAAAGTCTTTGATTTTTAAGTCCATTGATAAAAATAACCCGGCTAAAGTGCTAAAGCTTCATGCTTCTAGATGAGCCATTTTTTTTGTTTTAAACTTTAGAAAATATACTAAGAGTTTAAGAAAAGGATTTAAGTAAAAAGTGATAACGCAGTGAGGGCTATTTTTGCATATTTTGACCTTGTTTTTGGTAGTTTACGTGAATTGAAAGTGCCATTTGCAGTGTGGAAATAATTATTTTTTTTTCACTTCACAATATTTTACTTTTAAATCCAATTTTTATATAAAAATAGCAATTTGGAGGCAATTTGTTTTAATAGGATATTTTGCTAATATTAATTAGTGCCATCAAGCATATAATAGGATAACCTGAGAATTTTGCCACACAACTATATCTTCATATATAGCAGATTAATTTTATTTATTTTATTTTTTTAAATATGACAACGGTAAAATCCTACTGATGACATGTTGGTGTATGCTCTGTTAAAATGATGTATTTATATTAAATGACACGGGAAATAAATATATAACCGATATATATCGGTTATTGTATATGTATGTGTTGATAGATAAATCTTTGTTTTTGAAGAGGAAAACTAATTTTCTTTTGTTTTGCTGGATTTAAAACTTGTGACATTTCCCGGAGGCGTTGGCAAGAAACTATAAACCTAAGTACGGAATTGATTACTTTTAGCTAGACCCGGTTGCCGTGAATGGTAATACTTGTGTGAATATCCCGTTTTCGTCACTGTTGACTGATACGCAGTCAGTGAGCGAGTACATGACTTTGATGAGTGACCCGTATAAAAATGATGACTATTATCTACAGTCAGTTCAGAATGCAATGAGCTTGACTTATTAACAGTTTTGTATCCTTATGCCGGGACTATCAAACTGACATGTTTATAGCGCAAAACTACTCGAGAAAATCGGTTAAAGTCAACATATGACTCATTAATGTACTGAAGATAGAATTTAAACTTCTGATTGAAAGTTATCATTCTTAGGCATTAACCTAAAAAGAGTACTGAGTAATATCAAATCTGAACTAAACGATGTTTATATGATATATGTATAAAAATACTCTTAAGCTGTATGGTGATAATGTAGAGCAAGAATATGCTAAAGGGCCTACGGTCTCGAACTTAAGTAGTCAAACTGACGAATTTGCATCTCTACAAGAAGTCTAATGTCCAGATACAGCTTCTGTGAAGGCGAGCGAATCCTAGATTCGATAAAGGAAATTTCAAATACTAGTATTGTTGAATCCTCTTAACATTCTTCTATTGTGCAACATAATACATCTATGTAACGCCTCATGTTGCCCTGTACAGTGTTATGGTTTATCGTCCTTTTTTTCATTCAAAAGCTGTAGTTACGACTAGTGCGACGAAAAAGATGTCATAATACTCGCATATCAAGACACAATATAGACCTACTAACAGAAACGAAAACTATGGTGAACAAAACGGAGCATATCCAAGTAATACTGATAATGTAAATCTAATTGTGATGAGGCTTATCCACGTGTGTGCGAGTAAGTAATCGCCGTCTGGTCAAGCGGGAAATGACTTCCATGTTGTGATTAATGCTTCCGAGGAATCACTTTTTTCTAGATTTTTATACTTCACAACAGCAGGTGGCAAGTGGTGTGTAGCAGTTGTAAACAATTGCCCCCGTTCTTCACTTCAGTGTTGTTATATCTTATGGTCCTTCGGAATCATTGGTGCCAGCTCTATTAAGTATTGAGAATTGAGTACCGCTCAAGCCGGTGCTAGGGGGCATGAGGGTTGTTGCATTTATTCATTATCTCTCATGTACAGACTTAATCAAACCGAGTCTGCAATTTTTCTGTTATTTGTTTTGATAAATGCTTCCCAGGGATCAATTTGTTTCTAGATTTCCATATTGGCGCGTTACATGAAAGTTAGTTTGGTTTTCACGTAAGAAAGCGACCAAAACTGTATTACGTAGGTGGCTTTAATAATGCAATTAATGTGAACTTACTTCGTCAGTTCATATTCCATAAAAGTCTGGGAGCCGGCACATTTAAATATTCCCTTGTAAAAGAAATGTAATTAACGTAAACATCCAACGCAGATGATAATATACGTACAATTGATACGCATGACTTCGTCCTCAAGGAGTAATCTGCAAGACATAGCTATCACAACTCAACTCAACTCAACTCAAATATTTTATTTAAGTCTCATCTATGTGTACTTTACATATATTATGAAATAAAACACAACATTTTTACACAACACAAAGCCACTCCTACATAAGGAGTTATAAGAGACTGTAAAACTATTAAAATGATCTCTAAAATAATCTCTAGAATATCTACTTTCTAAGAATAAAAATTTAATATTTAGACACAATCTAACATGAATTATATGATCAAAGAGGTCAAGTTTGTGCCTATCTGTCTAATAATTATATTACTATGACAATAATTGTTGTTTGACCTAACCCTGTGTATTAATACGTTTTAATTCATAAAATCGTTTAGCTAATACCCTTAAAAGTTAAATATAACATTAAGCGCTCAATATTAAATGAAGAACTTTGAATCAAGGCAATGATTCTGATATAAATTGCAAGAACCAACAAGGTTAGTCGATTCTACAACCTTCTGATAGTGATTGGAAGATTGATACTTATGCCTCAGACAATATATAAAATTACATGGTAATGTTGACTGAATGCGTTAGTCACGTATTAATGTTGTCGAGAATGCATATAGACCTCTCTTTATGAAAATAAACATAGGCTCTTGTAATATAATGTCAAGTTGCTCGTATCTCTGTGATTTCTTTGCAGAATACCAAATAGATATATTAGCAATTTCAGAAAATTGGCTATCATGCCGCAATGTACATTTTATTAATAGTGTTAACAGTAGTTATAAATAATATTTTTGTCTATGATGAATCCGCTACTGGCCTTAAAGCAGCAAGCCTCCAGAAGATAACAGGAAAACTTCCATATTACTTATATTTCAAAATCCATCCTCAAAACATTATATAGTTAAAAGAAATATAATTGATTTTTCAAAATGTTCATATCTTATTCTGCCAACAGAATATGTATACATTCTTTTATTATACTACGCAACTTCTTCATTCTAGTACACCTGTTTGTACACGACAATATCGCGACCTATGATATCCGGAATCGTATTAAACATAGAAGGAAATGAATAAATTGCTTTGTTTTATATGTGTAGAAATTTGTGGCACTAAAATTATAACTGATTACTTATATCATGTATTTGATGAATAATATATCATATATAATATTTAATAGATCATATATCGATTAAAACTTTAGCTTGAAATATAATTAGGGCATACTCATTGACAAAATTTTATATACGACCCGAGATTTTTCCAAACCACTGTTGTGACACGTGACTGTGTTGAATAAACTATCTTGTCCTATTTATATTGCTACTGTGTTGGTAACATAGCAGAAACATGATATATTGACTCTTTTGTCAACATTTTTTTTCAAAATTAGATATCAGTGATAATACATTTACACATTATACTTATTAAATCATTTTTACGTTAACCTGAAATTCATTTCATTTTACCATCTGGAGGCCAGTGGTTTTAACAGTTCTGTAACACGATGCGGTGATGCTTCATGCAGAATGTTAAAAAAGACAGCATTATATTGATGATGATAGAAAAAAGGTAAACAGGTGCATGTAGCACCTTCACAATTTATGAATATTTCACAGGTAAACCTGCACTCGAGGATATCATTC